CTGGAAGCCGCTCATCCCTTGCCGAGAAAAGTGCTCTAGGTGTGAAGAATCGAGTGGCGGTCGGGGTACGAGGGTCGTGAGGTCAGATTCACTGCAGATTTCTTACAAAGGCAACCCAATACCCGGGACGCGCATAATACTACAACACCGTACACGGCGACCTTAACTGGATTAGTCACCCGCAGATATGTAATGCGCGGCTTATATCGCGGCTTATTCCCGAGTCGTTTCACGACTCCGGCAAGTATCTTCGGACGATTCCTTTTTAATTACCGAGACAGCAGTGCTCCGGTTGTCTTGTCCTTCCATTTGGTCACCTTCCAGCTATCATCCGGCACGAAACCTATCACAACTTGCATTATCATTGATCGCTTAATAAAGCCGCCGCCTCATGCTCTCAGCCCATACTTTATATCGCCTCGTAAATAACAATTAGCGCATGTGCGTTAAAAAAATTCGCCTCGTCGTCTTATTTATCGTCCCGACTCCGCTAACTAACAAACTAACTGCGAGATTAATAGCTCGAGACGGTCTGCGCATATAAACTTGTTAAAAACTCTCAGCGGACAATTTATTCGCTCCTTCTCCAACCCCCCCCCCCCCTCCCGCCGCGAGATTGCCCACCGATCTGCCCAACCCTTTCTCGCTCCCGCCTTTCCTTACCTCTGCAAAATTATTTCGACTAACAAATGCCCGGACATTGTTCGCCAGGAGCGAAAGCCATTAGTCCATTTGTCGCACGCGGGCACCAACCGCGACCGCGGCTCCTTAATTCTGCCTGCGCCTCTTTCTACTCCTCTCGGCTTTCGAGACCAGCAGCACTCCCGAATAATCGACGTAATCCATTCTAGTTAAAGCGCCCTCTCGCGCTTGACTTACACCGAAAATTTGTCTTCAATGTTTGCCGAGGCGTTCGCTCTTTCATTAATTTGATTAAACGTTCTTGAGCTCTAAAGCTACGACTCGTTTTTGCTTATTTGCCCCTCGATCTGCCTCTTTTCAACAACATATATTCATGTCTCCTTCGTCAACAATATATTCTTTCCCTTTATTCCGTGAATCTGATTTCACGAGCACGCTCTCACCTTCTAGACAAGCAGAATCACAAGTTGTTGGTAACTCAAATACTACTAAAGATATTACAATTCATCCAAATTTTTAAATACAAAGAATATTCCCATCTTTTGTAATCCACGAAAAATAATAGCGCATCTTTTAGAATTCGCTTCGATTAGATTTTAACGTCATTGTCACATAATATCATTATCATATAATAAATTAATCAATCTAATTGGGATATCAATTTTTCAACCTTACTTCGAATTAATTACTTTCAAAACGAAATACCACCTAGATATGTGTGTGCATGCCCACGTGTAACTTATTTTATGAACAAGTTATTCCCCCTTTCTTCTTTCCAATATCAAATAACATTGTTATTATCATAAAATTTGCTTATCAAATAAAGAGATAATATTAGCTATACGTATCCCTAACTTATCAAATAAAGAGATAATATTAGCCATACGTAACTCTAACAGCGAAATAGCTAGTGGGCTAAAAGAAAGCACAGCCAAGCCGTTCTCGGGACTTCTCAACAATCGCTGGTATTTTCAATTCAGCAACTAGCGCCTTTGACAAGCAATTTATAATTACATCTGATAATGCGATTTGCAATGAGTTGCTCGAAAAGCGGCTCCTAGGGAGGCGGGGAAATTGTTTGAGGAACAGCTGGTGCGATGCCGCGACGGCTTTCGCTTCTCGCATCCTTGCGATCCTCTAGAGGAGAGTGGGGGCAAGGCATAATTGCAGAACGCGTGCGCAGTCTCGGGATCGGAAACCCGTGACTGATGGCACGCGGCTTATCCCTTCGACCTCCCTCCTCCTCCTCCTTCAGCCTTGAAACAACACGAAGTAGATTGATATCGCCGTTACAGGGTTTGGGCGGGCCAAGGGAGCTCCAGCAGCGGCCTCTCCACATCTTTAATCGCGCGCAGGTCTCTAAAAAATTGCACACGTTGCATACAATTGCTTTAAAAAAAGTCTCACGCGTTCCTGTGATGTTGAAGGAATCGTTCGAACGACGATATGGACACCTGCTAAAAAGACATCTAATAGAGCACTCGACATCATCGCGCTTCACCTTAGTCGCGCTACCCCAAATCAAAGGACATGGAGTTCGTGCACCTCGTCAATCTTCACAAAGGACTCTTTAATAGGTGTCGAGGGTGCCGATTGATGGCTCCTAACAGCGACGGCTTTAATTTACCATTGACGTGCCACGAATGGAGGCATACAAAGGCTCGGTGGCTTGATTCTGCCGCATAAAAAATTGATTATCCTCGCGGCGGAATGACTCGGGGATTTCCGTGCGCCCTCGGTGATCGGCGCGTGCCGGCCATTAATCATGATTCGATATCGCATTAAGCGCTCGCTGATAATCGCTCAATTAACCATTCACTTAGAGGTGCCCGACGCCCCGAGCCACTGCGCCCAGCATACAAAGGCGCGCCGACGATTCTTATCCGATGCCATCCACGCCCGCACTTTTTTTGAGGGAAGGTCGAGGAAATCGCTCGCTATGTCCTCCTCGCAAAGTTTCCGCATTAACTATGCGCTCTTTACGTACCATTGGCATTGCCACAACGAACAGTCATCGAGGAGACTTTGGTCTTAATTCGATTACCTCCAACTTACAAGAGACGTTAATAAGTGGACGTTTGATTTCAAAATTCCGATACTATGCTTTAATAAAATGACGACAATTATTTTATACCGCTAATTTTATAATCTTCTTAAGGCTTTTCCAAGCTATTTTCTACGTTACAAAAGAAAATTTCTGCATTCCTAACGACACTCTACCGACATAAAGCTATTCCTACAAGTATCCGCTTTTAAAATAATGAAATACGTTTATATCCTAGCTTAAAGTATATTGCTAATATTAAGTAAATAAGCATTAAATTGAGCGGCATTAACAACATCATATAAGTAGGTTATCGGACAATAACTCCATACTGCCGACAATTTTCTGCCGACAGCCGGATTTTAAACATAGTAGCCAGATTTTACAATAAATATTAATAATATTATTTATTTATACATTAGTTGTAAAATACGTAAATAAAGCAACATGCTATTGTATATATATATATATATATATATATATATATATGCTAATTTTTACATTTTTATTACAAAGAATATAGTATATAATACGCATTCTATCATCGTTACCATAATTTCGCGATGACAGCTAACAAGTAGTCGCTTAATAACGTTTTATAGATGCGCTAATAAATATGTTATTAAACACAGAAAAACTAAGTAAGAGTACAGAAATAAAGTAAGAGCCCTTAACCTTCTTGAAAGGATAAATTAGCTAGTGCTGATTATTCGGGTAAAAATATCGAGTGGCGTTTAGTCGGAGACACGTCGTATTTGCGTGCATCCGACTCCGTTGCCCCTAACGACCGACCATACTATCGAACTCGTATGCGTTTTTTAAAACAGTCCACTTTTCTACACGCTTCTGGTGCAAATATTTCCAATGTCTCCTCCCCGTCCTCGGCCGACAAACACTAATTAAGTACTTCGATAGTCGTACATGTCGTACTACGTATCGCTCTGATATAATGCACTTATCACTACAATGAAGCAGCACATATACGTGATTGGGCATGTGATCGAGGAGATTGATCAAGAAGCCGGCGTATAATAATCGAGTAAACACGAGAATCGCAGAAATACTTATCGAAACGAAAATTTTACAGTAGCGATCGTCTGACCAAGTGCCTGCTCCCTCGATTCCCCAACGAATTGAAAAAACATGAAAATGAGCCATATCGTAGGGGAAATTAGGTGGACGATGGGGCGAGGGGGAGAGGTGGTAGCGGTCAATCGAGGGCATATCGGTGACCCACCACTGCCATCGCCTTGCTTTCACGCGCCGTTGCGTCCCCCGTACCCAGGAGTGACACTTCCTCCGTGCACCACCTGCGTACGGCTCCGACCCCACTTTAATACCTTCATTAGAATGCATACGAAAATGTAACAAAAATGCGAGTGGTTGCTGCTCGAGATTCCTTATCTAGCCCTGACTTTATATATTTCTGCGAGTGCGGCGTTTCCTTCTATTCCCACTTTCTAATCAAGAACCCCGCGACTTTCCGACTTTCTTTTCCGCCGACGCTCGGCGAATGTCGGTGCAATACAGTTGCCACACGCGGTGCTCGGACCTGAGCTCCAGAATCATAATCTAGAGTCATACTACTGGATAGACCGATGCGAGCAAGAACTCTGAATCCCCACGCTAATCACACTACCGGACTCAATGCTGTCGGCAATTGTCGAAGAATCCAATCGACCTATGCGTTCAGCAAGGATCTAGTTGTAGGAGATTCCTATGGATATGACAATGCGTTATTGCTGATTAGAATGTTACCCGCATGGGATTGTAGCCGAGCAACTTTTTAAATATTAATGATATGCCATGTACGAGCCATCGATCACTTATTATTTCCGCGAACCCACTTATTAGCAAGCTCGTTTCCTTCAATGGAGTTTCCACTTATTATCGAGACGGCTTTTTATTATATTACGCGCTTGATACTTTGTCAAATAAAAGCAACTAGTAGTTGAAAATTGCTAATTCTCTATTGAGCTTTAAGCAGTGCCAGTAGATAGCATACAATACTTTCGATTTAACTATTAACTACCGTTCATACGCATACTTATCGAGTCAACAATTTAATGCTAGTTTATTAATATCAAATAGTAATGATATTGCAGTACAAAGGACAGAAAGCTTAGTTGCGAGTAGAATGATATAAATACAAAGCCGAGTGAACGTAGAATTTTAGAAATACGAAACATTAGTCATTAGTCTAATATCAATTGGGGGTTGGTTTTTGACGGCGCAAACCATTTATCGTTCCGTCAAAATGCAAACGATTCGAGGCAACGTACTGACGATGCCATGTCTGCTTTGCCTGTTACAGTTGTAATGCACAAGGACAAGGAGGAGAACTCGCACCACGACTCCCACTACCGAGCTCGAGAACTAGCGGCTTTGGCCGCCTACGACCACCAGCACCTGGACGGTGAAATGTTCCTGCAGGTAAGTAAGAAAGGGGCTGGGAAGGGGGCCCGTACTCATCGACGAAATATCGCGGTAGGCCAGGGCCTGGATTCCACCCGATAAATCCTCGGGCTCTCGCTGTCCGACATAAATATCCCATCGTGAAAATAATAATCGATAAATCCAGGCTGATTAAAAGTCGAGCGCGCCTTGGCCCAGAGCTCCAGGTGAAAAAGGGCGAAAAAAGCGAGGACGCGGCCGCGTCCACGGGAAAGGTGTCTAGTCTGAGTGCGCATGCGCCTGACCCCCACGTTATGCAGGCGCGAGACGATTAATGGCGCTGCATCATGCGAGAGACGACGCCGCACAGTGGGAAAAGCGCTGAAGTTCAGTTGTGGCTTTATCTCAATTACACAATGCCCGCCGGTCTGAGAAAACAATTTATCTATTATTAATGCCCAAGCGTGCGCCCTTCCCAAATGTATGAAAGCACTATCAGCGGCTTATCGAGATCTCGACCGCGGTAGCTGTCAATTTTTCAGAGGCCCAAGAGGTGGGAAGTGCCGAGTGAGGCGCCGTGCTTTACGCTTGTGCTTATTTCCTATTGTTATTTGGTACTTTGAGACGATAATTGCTAATAGTAAAACAATAGAAAAATAAAATGGATGAAAGTATCGGTTAAGCCTCGCGCTTAATACCGTAATATAAGCAAGTAGAATAACAATGAATAAATATTGCAAGAAATACCTATTGGTGCCTAATTGTTAACTTCGACTTCTTCGTTCACACATTCAGACCAAAGTTTCATCATTATTACAACATTACAAGCAACATTATTACACGTGCATATTAATATAGTAATTTCGATGCAAAAATACATGTATGCATGCATTAAGCGATAAGTCCGCATTTGGAAGTTAATTTACTTGCTCTAATAATTTATTAAATATGTTTTTAGCTCGCTCAGATATTCGAGTAAGCACAAACCTTTACGAAGTTTAGAAGCTTATCAAATTATCATTGCATTTTTAACAACAAAATAATCTGTTCAATTTAATACTGTGAAGCCTGCACTAAAATTCTTAAAGTTAGTAACTTAGTGTAGATACATTAAAGCGGTTATCCTTCATTTTCACGATGTTGTAGCGTATAAATTGGGCTTTTAAATGATATAGCAATTTTGAAGAATACGTAAAACATCATCGTTTCTTTAGGGGTTAATTGGTTAATTCGTTAAAGCGTCCACGAGTCTATAAAGATCCTCAATTATTTTTCTATAAAAGAACAAAAAAAGAAAAAAAAAATTATTAGTTTAGAATGAAATTATGGAAAATAGAAGAGAGGAGTAATAAAATACTGTATTTACATCTTAAATTCTTAGTTTCATAAATTTTCATAAGAAATTAAAAGCGCGTCCTAAAGTAGCCTAAAGCGATTTCTAAAGTAGCGTTTTCTCGACAAAAAAATAACCAAGAACAGTTCTCTCCCCCCCCCCCCCACTGGAATACAATTCAACCTCGAGGAGATGTAGAAATACAGTAAATTAATTATTCATGTGAAAGGGATAGTAAGAATAGAAGGAGGCTTGAGTTGTAATAAGAGCATTAGCATATAAGAATAAGCGGGAGTAAAATTGAAATAAAAGCTGACCCCGGCAAAAAGGAGTTTCGACTCATGGCGAGTACATCATCCTCATAATGGTTTCGGAACGTGGAGGAAGAGTAGTAAGATATGAAGAACGTTCTCAGCCGCTTGAGTAAAGCGGCTTGCGATTGGATTTTATTGGTGGTTACAAGGGGGGTGGGTACTACAAAGGTACTACGAAGGTACTACGAGAACACTACAAGGGCGTTCTCGGAAGACACTCCGGGTGCCGCGACTTGGCTAATGATTTTATAATAAGCTCTCAGCTGTTTGCCTAATTCACCGCGGGAACGGGGGTGAGTTTTTTCGGTCGTTAGCTCGGTTCCCCTTTTACGATCGCCATTAATATCAAGGGCTGCGCATCCCACGCTCACAGGGCGCGTGCATTAGCCTCCATCTTCCTACCTCATCCTCTTCTCCACCTCCTCTTCCACCACCTTCTCATTCTCCTGCAGCGTCTAACCTCACTCCCCTCCCTCCCGCACCTCGCAGAGCCGCAGTAGTATTAGTGACGCTGCGGTTGTACCGCTTGCGCCGTCGCTGCGGCGCGGATCACGGCCATTAATTTCGCCGATATGTCAGAGGCGCGGATCCTGGGCCCCGAGCCTTGGACACTTACGTACGTAAGAGCCCGCGACCGCATCTTCCAGTCGCAGTACATGCGCCATAGCGCACATTGAATATTCAACGATGCCCGTTGTACGGGGCTCGGCCGCGATAAGCGCCCCGGGCGTCCGCTCTACCTCCCTCCCCCTACCCGTCATTACCGCCGCCATCGCTACCCCCTTCTCCATCCCGCATAATCGCCGCGGGATGATGCCTCCACTTCCACGCGCTCCTTGTCGACTATTGATCGCGGCCGGCGCTGCCTTGGCTACGGCGGCGCTCCGTTGCCTGGGCCACGGCGTCCGCGCCGACCAGAGTCAAGGTGAGCGCCCGCCAGAACACGCGACCGCAGCCCGATCCACTGACCTGACAAGACCACGACGATTCTTCTTCGCCTGAGTCCTCCACCGAGCCCTCGGACCCGGAAGCTCCAGGCTCCGCTTCGCTCAATTCCTCGTCGCGTCCATTATCTAGTCGATCGCGGCCTCCATCGCACTCCCCGGCCCTGCTTTTTTCTCCGCGAGCGCTCGTATTATTCGATCCAGCGCCCGGGGAGGGGTCGCGAATTGACAAATCCCATTACAGAGCAAGGTGGGTCGGCGATTCGGTGGGCGGCGGTACGGGAGGAGGGAGGGGGTTGGGCGGTTGGGCGGTTGGGCGAGGGGGAGGGTGGGAGGGCGAGACGAGCTCGCACCCCACGCGTATCGACGCGACGCGCGCCCCTCGCACGCCCCGACCAATCCTAAGCCAGCATCCGCGCGCATGCGAGAGCGCCCCAGAAAACGGATTTCCCTGGCGGCTTCGATTAAAGCAGATTACTGCGGCGACAGCCCCTGCTCCCCAACATGGAAGCTGATCCTCCATTTTTCCCACTCCCTCGAGAGCTAAAAAAAAAACATCGTGCGACCGATGTGCGCAACTCCGCTCGTCGTACCTTATACCATACTCGACTCGACCTTTTATCTTAATAGCTCATCGAGTCGCTCGCTTGCACGGAACTTTGTGTTATCAAGTTAATAAGTCCGAGCCAAACGCAATAATGCTCGCTTCTGAAAATTATTGTGACTGCCCCTTTGTCGTAAGACCGCGGACAATATTATAGATTTAATTGTACAATACCTGCCTTTATTTTACAAAACTATTAAAAGCTTTTATTAAACGTCCTATAATAATCCTGATATCGCGATATTACGTGGCTTTAATGCTTTCGCTCGAATGCTAATTCAGCACTCGTGCACATTTTGTTTATTTTTTTAATTATCCTACACTTACGTAATATTTATGACATTTACATTCGTCGAGCCTACTTTCTAATAGTATTTAATTACCGACTGCCTATAGTTTAATAACCTATGTAAGGCTATGCTCTGTTAATAACGCACTAATAGATAGGAGATAGTCCGTATGAAATAACAATGCAAATTGGGATATTCGGTAAAATGTGCTGCAATGAGTAGAAATAATGCAGTGTTTGGACCGTTTTATTACCACATTAAAAAAAAAAAAAAAAAAAAAAAAA